GATTAAATGGACTTCCTTTGATAATCTAGCACCCGTGGTGTTCCAAAGGATTCAATTCAGTGCAGGAGTGCCCTCTGTGGCCATTTTGCTTCGACCGCCCCTGTGAGCTGTTCCAAATAGATGGAAGAAGAGAATGGATGGAGACGCGTGGATAGACATCGAAACCCAGTGGATTGCCTAAAAGCAATGGAAAATTATAAATTCTTGGAGTCGCGGAACATGGATGCTTTCTACAAGTGTTTAGGGCATCAATTCAGACGTGCCTTACAAAAACCAAAAAGACCCCAGTTTTAGTTTGCACTGCAAGGGTTGGTGCCTCAACATGAAAGAATCCAAGCAGGAACAAGAGGGGTACGCATATACGCTCTTTCATCTACACTTGGAACCAAAGTGAATGCTCCAGCCTTGTTCGCAACTTGAACTTTTGCTCGATACTTGAGCAGTGGGAATGCCATGAGAACCTTTCGGCGATGTGCCGTGGCAGTGCTTGTGGCACTACCTCTGCGCCTCGTTGCACATGGATGGGGTCAATAATCATTTTTAAGCGAAGCTAACCGATGTGGAAATGGAACTCCCATTCGAGGCTAACCACCACCCCCACAAAAGGGACAAGGAAAGCGCGTTTCAAACGGCATGGGGAGCTGTTTTCTCCAAGCAATGACTAGCTCAGTGTTGTTGGTGTGGAATCCCTTGAATCCCCTAAGAGAATATTAATGATAATAATGCTAGAGCAATTGATTTCGAAAGGACTGAAGACCCAAATAGGGATTGGTCATTATAAAACTACAAAATAGTTTATCAAACATCATGATAAGTCATCATATGTCATCACAAACCATCATACATCTGCATAAATACCGCACACAGTAATATATAATAATATATAATAATGTATGTATAGAGATCCATAGAAATAATCATAAATCCATCATTTAAATCCACATAAATCATAGATGCATATGAATCCTATCCCTTCCCAGCTATTTTGACGGCAAAAGCCTGTACCAGGTTGACAGGTCACCCATCCCCACTGGAGGCGCTCCAGTTGGAGTTTTGCCAACCTCAACCGCTTCCCTCAAGGTGGATGGAGGTTTCCTAAGTCATGGGGCTACCCCAAAATGCATGGTTTATCATGGAGAATCCTATGAAAATGAGTAATATTGTCTGAACATAGGGTACCTCTAAATCCATTGCTTAAATCATCATTTTCCCTATTAAGAAGTGCAGCACATTTTGGGACATCATTTTCAGTCAGACCAATACGAACCTATATTGGATACCCCTGCATATGTGCCCCCAAAATGACCAGATCCAATACTCAGGTGTTTGTAGGGGAATAGCGAGTATTTAATTTTGAGGGGATGTGATTATAGTGGGAAACACGACTGATAAACCATCAAAAAAATGAAGTACTGCAGCCTATTTTCAAACTCATTGAACCAATAACCACTTGCAGGTGATGTGTTGCTTCATCCAAGGTGGCATTGATGGATCACCATGACACAAGGATCCATTCCAAACTATCCAGACCAGGTTTTGGCATCTGTTATGAGAGTATGCAATAGTATGCATATTGATGTATATTGTATTTTGTTGTTTAAATACTATATATGTACTTATAGTTTCACATATACATACAATTTCAATACATATGTGAGTGTATATATATATGCGTATGCAATGTTATAGGTGTATATATATATATACATAATTAGATATATGTATATTATATGCGCAGAACATCTCCGCATTTGCCATCCGCGGCGAAACGCCGTCAGGTCCGCAGGGGCCAAGGGTCCGCAGCTACTCACGTGCAACTGCAGGTGCCGGTGAAGGAGTGCGTCAAAAGACCATTGGGTTTGGGAAAGAACTGAGCATGGGTTAACTGTTCTACAAGTTGGAAATGGGTCATAGTGTATATATATATGTATACATAACATAGTGGTACAGTTGGGTTTGAAACACTTAAAGCTGGTTTCAACAGATTTCAACTCGTTTGCGGGTCTTGGAGGCACCACACACGCCAAGAATAATCTTTATCTCCACAAGCGACTATATGAATAGGAAAGGTTTCACTCTTCCGATTGCTCGAGGATAGAACTTCTGATCCAATCATACCCGTTTAAGAGGCAACTGAATCATCCACTCGTCACTCATCGATTAATGTTTCATCAATTTGGTTTTGTTCTCTTCAGCATCTTGGAGCCATGACTTTGTGGGGTGACCCAATACTTGGCCGACATAGCCACCAAAAAGTGTTTGTTCATTCTTGAACATGAGGAAATATCATGAAATATCAGGATACGTTGGATGCATTTCAATTTTCATTGCTCCGGTGCCGCTTAGTCCTGCTCCTCCAGGACTACCAGAGGATGTCTCGGAATGGCCAGCGGGAGAACTGCGGAAATACCTGGAGCAGCGAAGCATCCGACACAAGGAGCTGGATATCATTGGGCAATTTGGACTGACAAAAAACACATGGATGGAAGCAAAGATGGCAAAGAAATGAACAATACTGGATAATATGATATTGTATAGTAGTATAGAGGTTGCTCTAAAGTACCAAAGTGTGATTCTTTACCGACTTTTAGTAGAGTTGTGTGAACACTTTTTTTTCTCGTTCTATGTAATTCCTTTACGGACCCCATACACTTTGTTTGGTTGTTTGGCAAACCGTCAATCTTGTCTCATTTTCTCTTCAATGGATCAAGTTGAGTCTATTCATTCGTGGAGGATTGCTTCGAGAAGATTGAGCTGGTGGATCGGGTGAAAGATGCCATTGCCAGAGGAGTGCCCAAGACTCTCGCAGACACTGCATCGCCTGAAGCTTCAAATGCCAAGGCTTGAGGATTGGGGAATTACTGATCGAGTGGCCATTGCGGTATTAATTTCACATTAATATTAATTCCTTTTCTTACTCTTAAGATGGTGATAGATTAGATGGTGTCTCATGTTTTTGTTGAAATTCTGGAACCCCTTCATGGAAATGTTGGGCACCTCAGATATTGTGATGCAAACTGCTGCGGAAGGCGATCATCATTCGGGTCAACCTTGGTTTACTGCTTTGATCTTTAGAAAAACATAGAAAAACTATGGGGATATTCACAAACCAGGATAAGGATCAATAAAGATCATGGATATCCATGAATATTCCAGGATATTCACTAGGCAGCTAAAACATCACTTTTTTATTTTTCGTATGGCAGATGTCATGGATCAACGGTGAAGGATTTCCATAAGGCACCGCGGCGTTTTGCGCAGTTCGGAGAGCTGGTGGAGATTCCAAGTCCTGCGGAAGATGGCGCTTTGCCGAAAGTTTGGTCCCAGGATTCCCAGGGTCAGGGGATTCAGAGACGGTAAAAAGATGCACCAAGGACTTGACACCATTTATTTGTTGCAGCTGTGGGATGTTCCTTTCTCTATCTTCTTTGAGGCAACTGCAGTTTTGACGTAAGCAGTTGATCTCATTTTTGTGGTGCTGACAGGTAAGATCGGTATCACAGGTTTCCATGCCATTAAATATCGCTTCGAGGTCGACCTCCTCATCCGGTCGAGTGACTAGTTATGGCTAGTTCTCAGGCCACATTGGTCCCAGAATTGGGGTGCAATGCCACCAGATTTGTGTTGCATTGGACAATTTGGCGACGTTTCTGTGAGACTTCGAGAGACATTCACCGCTCTCGAGATCCCAGAATCGGCATTTTGATCCTGCATCTCCAAAGGATAACCAGTAGCCGCCCCTAAACACCCAAATACATGATGCAGTGTTGCAATATTGGGCTATGGGTCAAAATCCCACCCCAATATTCTGATGAATTTTCATTTGTCAGCTATTTGGTGTGAACAGCTGCCAGGTTTTTGATCAATCCCTGCCACCAAGGTGTCTTCATTTTTTTGCACGGCTTTGGCGACTCCGCCCGTGGCTTTGTGAGCCAATTGCCCAACCTGCTGCAGCTTCCATCGGTGCGCTACGTGCTGCCGACGGCACCTTCACTGGGAGGCGGCCGAATAGCTCAACGTTGACACAAGAGACCATGGATCGGTGACCAAATAATTCATGATGATTCTAAAATATTCTAAACATCATTTGCGAATTGAATATATAATGATATATATAGATAATATACAGTAACAGATATATAACATGATAGAACTAAACAATCAAAAGAATTTTATCATTCAGAATTCAGGGTGGGTGCACTTTAAATCATCCGTTGCTTCCCATCTTTGCCTCACAGGCATGCGCTCTTGGTTTACCCAAGCAGCACTGGGAGGGGCAGCTCCAAGTAGCGTGGCAGTGCAGGAGAGCGTGAACTACGTGCCTCGGAATCGACCGGTTTTCTGAAAAAATGGCGGCCATGGTGTCTGAAACAAATAGGGTACCCCAAGAGCCAGTGGATCATTGGATCATTTTGTGGCTTTTTAATGCTTTTTACAGTATTCTTTTCTTTTCATGAGATGTTAAGCAGGATGTTATGGGTATTCGCAGGTTTCAGAGACGCGTCTCTAGGGGGAAAAACACCATGGGATTCTGTGTCTCCAGGGCGGAATTCCCAATCCACTGGCATCTTGACAACACCAAATCGAAAATCACTGGCATCACGAACTATCACCATAATGATATATAGTGGTGCTTGATTCTTCCTGGTTTTGGTTCATTAGTCGATCATGTATCGATCAGCGCATTCTTCATTTGAGTCGCTATTCACTCTACTTCATTCGACATTACTCCGAATGCATTGTGCTTACGAAACTTGATTTCTCCTACGTATATTATGCACCCCCATTGGTACTGGGTTTGTTTGAACATAATGAGCCAGAATGTTATGATGTTATGATATTTGATGATTGTTCATCATTGCCCCTATTACATCCTATTACACTAGCCATTTTTGGGGATTCAGCCCCATATTTTTGGACACACCCATATCATGTCAAACTGTTTGTATTTCCATCGAATCATATGATATCATATGATATCATATGTATGTATGTGTATATATATATACTGTATATATATATATGTCACCATTATATCCGTGATCTACCCTATTCCACCATTCCCTCTTTATTCCCTCTTTATTCCTGACTAGATCCGATGTGTTTCTGGTTATTATTGCCAATTAGTCCTTGCCAGCTAAATCCTCATAACTAATGGCTTTGTCTACAAAAAACATATACATATACTTGTAACTGCATAAATGTTCACAATATTTAGGAGCAACTAAAAAGGAGCAACTAAATGTTCACAATATTCCCATACATTCCCCCCTCTAGAGCTCCCCATTGGACTAGCCATTGGACATCCAGCAGCTGGGCACGGTTGACCAGGTGCATCACCTGATTCGACAGCAGCTGGCCCGCGGAGTCCCCGGAAAGAAGATCTTCGTGGGTGGCTTCTCGCAAGGCGTTGCGGTGGCGCTGGACGGCTGGATTTGGAAATGATTTGGAGATGGGTGAAAACATGTCAAAAGTTTTTTTTTAATGATGTTTCATGGATCTCTCTATGATCCATGTTTATTCGATTCGATGTTTAATAATTACTGTAGATGTTTAATCCTCAACATGACCAGTTTTACCAATGTTGTGGGTCCAGTTGGTCTCCCATGTTTGAGCCAACGTAGCAGAATGTTCGATGCATTCTCACCTGGACTTCGTGACAGGAGGGAAGCTGACTATTTTATCGGATCCGTAGGGTTTGAAAGCAAGGAGTCCTACCAGATGCAGCACTGGTTTTGGAGCATCTCAAGATTTTGAAGAAACACTGATTCAAACGCAAGCCGGATTTCCTGATTTTCTGCATGGAAGGAACTAGTTCAGGAATTGAAACCAATTTTTTGATCCAATAGCCCAGTCTACTGCAAACCATTTCATGATGCGCTAATTTGGACAATGTTTGACCCACAGCTGCTCATGGCTGATGGATCTAGTTGCCCTTCAACTGACCAGACTGACCATGTAACATCATAAAATATCTCGTGTGACCCCTGGAAACCCAGACTTTGACTTCACATGACTTCAGCAGTTGGAGGATCCATCGATGCCAGAGTCTGAGTTGCATAGTCAACCTGGGGGCTTTCACTTGCACCTCGGACTCCTTGGATGCCAAAGTCTCAAACTTGTACGTATACAAGAGTTGGTTGGTTTTATTTTGGTTGATGTTGGTTTAGCAGCAATCATTCACCAATCATCGCCACACCAATTTCCTGTCCGCTCTACAGAAGTGTCTCCGGAGGCGGCTGCATTGCGGTTCAAGCGGCGTTGAGCTTCCCGGACGCCACACTGGGCGGTGCAGTGGCAGCTTCAACGTTCCTGAGCCTCGGTGGTGGCAGGAGCAGCACAGAAAGTTGGTGGTTCCAAGAAATTCCAGGGATAAGCAGTCAATGAAATCAACCCAAAGGAAACGGCATAATTCGTGTTGCATCGACTTATTATCCAGACATGTCAATTGAAGAGCTTTGGGTCTGAAATCATATTGGAAATAGTTGGAAATAGCAACCTTCAACCAGATCTCAGTCAGTTACCAGATGTCAACGGGCACCGCTTTCCACTTGACAGGAGCCCTGTGACCCTCAGCGACGCAAACAGGTGCGACGCAATTGTGGTTGGGGCTAGCGTTTTTTTTTCTCCATTGCAATTACATGTGTCGTTAAGGTGTTAAATGGTCATAGTGAATATTAGTCATAGTTTTGTAAGAGTGGAGCCACAAGATTCTGCCATGTATTATCAGAATATCTTACGACATCTTACGTCCACAAAGCAAATGTCATTGTCATTTATCGCATGAAGTTTACAATAATAGCAAGTCGTAATGAGTTGGGTTCGGTCCAAAAATCCTAATACCTAGGGTTTTTGATCTGAATATATCTGAATGCATAGAGGCTTTATAGACATTTTAACCAGCCACAGCCACCAGATGTCTGTTTTTGTGGAGATGCAGTGCACTGACTCTTCGTTCCGGGAAACCAATGGTACCTATGGGTACCTCCATGTTAGGACACAGTCAAATTGTCTTGGAAAACAGTGTTAAACATTACATCCAAATCATAACCCCACAACAGAAATACTGGACCATTAGAGTTTAGCTTTATACAGATTTAATTATTAGATATGAATTAGATATGATTTAAATATATATATATATATGTATCAACCATATAAATTTCAACATGCCGATATAAGATACTGGGGTTTAGAAGTTTCATAGCCATGGTTTCTCAAGATTACAAGGAACCTATCCCAAAAAGCATGATGAAATGACCTGTTGGTGATGGAAAATGACTTGTTGTAGATGATTTACATATTATTCCCATGGCCATTTTCCGTGGCAAACTATTAGACTGCTTAAATTCCAACATGCCAATATCAACTATCGGGATTGGGGTTTAAATAGCTATAATAATCATCCTGAAGCGGGTAGTCTATGTTTTTTCCAAAGATATGATCATTTGGTTTTGATTTTTGATATGTGTTCTATCTATTCGAGGATGACTATAACTTTCTCCAGTAAATCCCCAGTAATATCACATGATATGCCCATATTTGTTGATTGAATCCTCCATTCCTAGGGAGTTTCTGGGCAGGCGCTTGCCAGTGCTGGGCTGCCACGGTGAAGCAGATGGCGTTGTGCCTATGTCGGCGGGCCGGAACCTGGTGGAGACTTTGAGATCACAAGGCCAGGACGTGGCATTTCTCCAGAAAAAATGGAGGCTTCTCAAAAGTGCTAGCTTAGGCATCGAAAATGGGGGGATAGCTCCGTAAAGAATTGGGGAATCATCAAAACTTGGGGTTTATCATGGTTTATCCATGCAAAAATGAGGGTTATGAAAAACATAGGAATTTTCAATCCTGAAAAGAAACAATTTTGTCTTGACCCCTGCCCAACAGCCTACAATCACTATTACTATAATATGAATAGAACCGGGAGCAATGATTGGCAACAGCGGGGGTAGCATCAACATAGCGGGGTTATCAGCGCAAAAGATTGGGAAACAACTTGATCAATAGCGTCGAACGAACAAGAATGCACGCATCCCCCCCTCTAGGTTGGAATCTATCTTGCAGTCAGAAAAAATATGATATGTCCTCAACTGGCAGTTGAAACGGGCATTGGTTGGAATGTTCCAGACCAATGAGACCCACAGCCCAACTACATCCCGGCTCTTCAGTCATTTTCAATCCAAACTGTCGACCCAAAGGGGATATCCATTGCCCCCCTTGTGTGATCCATGTCCAAAGTTTCACCCATGTCGGAAATGGATCCTTGGGAAACCCTTAAACATACATCATGCAATGACACCGTTTCCATGTCATGTATTTCTTCCAACAATCAGAGTTGGAAGGTCAGCCAAAATCAGCCTGTGGCATCCCCTGACGTGTTGGGCCCATCCAGCCCAGTGTTGTCCGCAGGTGTCCCTGCGGAGTTCAAGAGCTATCCCAGCATGGGCCATACTTATTGCCCCGAGGCATCCTTTCCCTGCCTCCAAGGGAGGTCGGCCAAAATTCGGCCTGGAAACTCTGGAAACCACGAAGCAGATTCCAGATCCCAGCTGATGTTTTGGGACATCCTCAGCTGGCTGGGCCCCAGTACCCGGTACCCCCCAATTTTTCTTCAACTAGTGTGTAGTCAGGGAGTTTGAACCAGCTTTGAATCGGCAGAGAAAAAGGTCGGGACTTGGATAGGATGAGAAATCGAATGGCCGCAACCCTCAAAAAAATAGGCCATAGTTCCAACATGTATCATAATTTCTAAGGTGACAACACCTTCCTTGGCCATTACATTCTGTTACCCATCACTTATGTAGAACATTGTATCATCACGGTTAAGTTGCTATTGTTTTCAATGTTCTATCATTTTCTATCATTTCGTTTGTGCTTTCCATAAAGACTCATGAAATCTATAGAAAACCATGTACTTCTTTCACCTGCATGTTTGCTAGTAGTTTTCAACGAACATTGACCATCCTCCCATTTCACACCCATTCGCTTCCGGCAGGAAGCAAGAGACGTGACAGACTTCCTGTCGCAGCGCTTGAAGCGAGACCCCAGAGAGCTGGCTGCGATGTCCGCCAAGGACGGGAGCGATGTTTGGGTCAAGTTCCTTCCAGAGCAACGGCTTTAGAACTTCCCAAAAGAACATCATTGATCCGACACTTACAAATTTCAGGGAACCACAGCAGTTGATATTTGGGATGGAAGACACTCATGGACAACGCTTTTCTTCGGAGCCAAGATTGACTCAGTTTGACAAACACCGACACCCAGGGTATTCGGGGATACTCTTGGTTGTGAGGGGAGTTTTGTCTGAAAATCTAGAATCCAGTATTTAATCATAATTGATCAATGTTGATCCTCATTTTCCATCATTTTCCCATATTTTCCAATTCAAATTGTCATTTTGTTGTATTTTTTGGGTAAACAGCTATGGCACAGCTTCTCTCAGGAGCTTAAGGCCTTGTTGCTGGAGAATGGAATCAGTGCCTTGAGCTGCAGTGCAAACAAGGGTCCGAAAGAATGTGGTCGCCAATGACAGTTCCGATACAGATGTGTTCAGATTGTAAGAGTGGAGCAGGCTTGCAATTTTTCTGAGCATGGGCTTTTTATATCTTTTTATTGGATTTTTGGGTTGGGAAGACTGACTTCAATATAAGTTTGAATTCCACAAACATGTCCATCTTGTCCCTGACGCGGGTGCCTCACATTTCAACGGCTTGGGCTCAGGTACACTAGGCTGCTTTGAAAAGGCAGACCTCTTGGAGCGGGCCTCGGCGCTTGTTTGAGACCTTCGAAACACATGTGAATTCGTCCAAGTCTTCCACTGCACCGTTTGTATAGTCTCATGGTCCCGCTGCGGTTGCTGGGGATGCAGAGAATTTTCGCAGCCATCAGAGTTGACACTCCTCTGGGGCTCGGTGGATCATGGTGGATTTTCTGAGCTTTCCACGGCTCACGTTTGTACAGCCAGCACCAAAGAAACGTGGATTCCTAAAAGCAGCTGGTTGGGGAAGGCCTGGGCAAGGGGAAATACGGAACTGCAAATGTTCCAGCTTGCTGGATCCAAGTTGAAAACATCTGAAACCGATGTTCACAACAAGTTGAACGCGCAAGCTGGTTGATACTTCTCACCCTCAGGAATCAGACATGGCAATAGGAAATCCAAGTAATTGGAGTCCAGCAGGTATGTTTGATTACCAGAAGTTATAATTATACTGGCAGGTTAACAACAGGATTCCAATACATTCAATAGTCATGAAAGCTAGCTTCTGCTAGCTGAAGTCCCTCTTGCTTTAGCAAGGTATTTGGGGCTGGAAACTCCAATCCCCCCTGGGGACACCGTTGGGATGTCACCCGTGGGGCTCAAGTGGATGGCGATGATATCCCAATAAGATCCATATGGGACCCATTATACCCATAAACATATCCTCATTTCCCTCCGGTAATCAAACAAAGCTAGCTGGAAAATGCCCACTTAGTTCAGCTAATTTCAATGATTTCCCCATTCAAACCTCTATTTATAAGGGATTTTCCCATATCTTCCCATGACATTCCCACCATTTTAGCCATATCTTGTACGGAATTTCCATGAATTTCCAAACGTTGCCCGTCGAGGTCTGAACCCTGTCCCTACCCTAGCGGCTCTAGCGTCACTGTCAACCAGGATTTCACTGACAACCACTGAGTCTGGGAAATCCTATGGAAATTCTTAGCATTAAGAGAATCAGTAAATCTATGGAAATTCAATGGACATTCTATAGAAATTCTTAGACATTCTGGGAAATTGTCTAAACTGTCTAAACTATGTGTAAATCGATCATTTTTGAGCCATGAGCGGGTTTTGAGAACACTAGGAGGGGTGGATTCAATATGATTCAATGCATTTGGCACAATGTGGGGATTGCTATGTCGGAGTTGCCGCAGTTTGTATGTGGGGTGTTTGTCACCGAAGCGGCCCCCGCCATTCAGCAGGGGTTGGTGAATGACAGCAAATGTACTAGTTGGGAGACTTTAGACATCACTTTGGACTCTTTTGGATGTTCGTTGGAGATGACTACCTCATTGGTTTGGGTGCTGTCTCATTATATAAATGGAACCTCAAGAATTGTAGATGGTTCGTGGATGAAGATTGATAGATATTATTAAAATTTATTAAATATTATTAAACTTGACTAGTATGAATAAACAACATTCATATACAACAAAGAACCAAACAAAAATGTATATATAGAATATTAACGAATATTATATTTATATTATTTAATATTATATAATATATGAATACACACTAATACACATACGCATTTACTTCAGCCCTCAGCAGATGTGTCAACGGAACGCGGCGTGACGCTGTGATGCCTCAGGAGGCTAGCTCCGAAGAGGACGAGAGGCTATACTACTGCAAGAGGCGGACGCTGAATGCCTCCTGCCTCCATGGCTGTGGAAATCAGCCATGAATCGTCATGGTAAGACGGTAAGCCCATGAAATACCAATTAGATTGGGGACATACGATGAAATACCATTTTGCCCTGGGCCTAAACCATCTACACATGGCGGATTTCCCGTTGTCAGGGCGGAGTACCATCTGGCAAGCAGTGAACCATTTCTTGATACCATATCAGGCATGTGCATGGGGAACTCCTATGGGATTCTATAGGTATTCTGACATAAATACCTCCATAGGATTCAGATGTGCCCCACAGTTTGCCTCGTTTATCTTTGAGACTCAACTGCTCCTGCGTGTTTCCTCCCTCAATAGGCAGCGAGCTTTCTGCCTGAAAAGCCCCGCTGAAGAGGCGCAGTGCAAATCTTCATTTAGATATTGACAGTACTTGGATGAGGATCCAGTGATTCAAGATAATTCTCGGATGCTGTTTCTATACTGCCTCTCTATGATATTCTATCTCCAGTGGAAAATGATGTTGAAAGTTTGGCGTTCGGCATCATCTCCGCTACAGACTGCTGTGTGTGCGTGATGTTGGGATTGTCAACCCGCCAAGCTGTCAGAGTCAAAATTCAACTATCGTAACTTCTGAACGTTTACCATGATTTACGATCAATCCCTACAACATGTCCCCCTAACCTTGCCCAAACGCAATAGATATGGGATGATATGGGTTGGTTTGAAAATACAGTATCCTAAAATCCCATTGGTATACCATTGGTCCATCACATTCCATGACCATCTTCCCTGCTAAAATAGCAATGTTGGACCATGGGAGATACGACCCCATTTTCAGCACCCTTACAGGCGAAATTCCATGCCCATTGCCAGTGAAATCACTTAAGTTCCAAGGCTCCGCAGCCCAGCGGGATGAGCTATGGTGCAGGGATCCCAGGGTTCCACGCCTGGTGGATGCGAATGGGGCTGGCCCCATTCTGATACATACATACATACTTACATACATACATACATAGATACATAGATACATAGACACATATATACATAGATAGATAGATAGATTGATAGATAGATAGATAGATAGATACATACATACATACATAC